AAAATCCTGTGGTGTTTATCTCCATATGCCAAATTTCAAGATCACAAATTTGTAAAATATTTTGTTTCCAGAACAATGTCATACTCTTCAAACTTTGCAATACAATGGGAAATATGAAATGAATTCAGCTGAAATTAATGCTGGAAGAGGTGTTTCTCAGAAGGACCAAAAAATCTTTTTCTGTATTTTTCAAGCACAAAATAAATCCACAAAAACATTTAAATTGTTAAAAGTCGTAGCACTTCAGGCCATCATATGGAAACAAGTGTTCAAGGTTGTAACAGCTTGGCTGTGTATACCATTATGTCATGCATAGCTGTTAAACATGCATGCTGTCATAACTATCTTGTTGCAATTGTGAGAGACTTCCATAATATTATTTTGATGTCAGAGCAGAAAATCACCACCTTATGAATGCATTCATGTGACAATAAAGAAAAATCATACATTGTCATTTGCATAAGGTATTTATACAAATGATCATGTATGATTTTCCTTTGCAGTGGATTTTTGAGGACGTGTTAAGCAGAAAAATTTTTTCAACTGACATTTTTACAGTTAGATGGATAACATTTAGCATGATGATATCATGGAAGTACTGTATATCTTAAGTCAATTTGACAAAAATTGCTGCTGTCACATATGATTGAGGGTTAAGTTATTGCACAACTTAGTTTTAAAGGCCAAGAGCAATTGAATAGTTTGCATGATTTGATTCTTCAGAATCCAAGGAGTTTATAGTCATTGATAATTTTTTTTTCACTACTATTCAGCATTGATTGAATTTAATAAATAAATAGCATTTGTTCACTTTTTAAATGTGCTATGAGTATAGCTGCATGGTGTTTTTGTAAATGATATAAAATTGAAGAAAGAAGTTCAGCACTAGTGATTGAAATAATATAAAACATTTTGTTCGATTTCATGTCTACTTTATTATGTATCTGTATCATATACAAATATAACTAATAATTCTAAACTTTTTGCATTATGCAAATGGTTTTTTTCAGATGAATGAAAAATCAAAACTTTTGAAATATCAGCAAAATATTTTCTAAAGCTTTTTTAAAGAAGTTATGCAGATTATATACTAGTTTTCTATGTATACTTTATAAGATGCTATCAATTTTTGCATCTGGAATTTTGTTTGAGAAAACATTGATCAAAAATAATATATGTATAGACTATAGTAATGTTTTGGTGGTCTCTGATTATATAATTTTTATTGAATATTTCTTATCCCTCTGTTATTAACAGATTTATTAAAACTAATCACTGCTGATAGATTGCAGCATCTTTTTCTGATGACAGATTTTTTTTTACTGACTGAAACTGAATGTCTCTTTTTTAAGTCCTTTAAGATTTTTTATATAATATAATTATGATATCAAAGAAACAATCAAAGTTTAAAAAACTAAATTAAGTAGAAAAATACAGTTATCTTTAATATTTAAATTGGAATAAACATTATTAACCAATCACTGAAAACCAAGTTATAGTAGTGCATTAATAGCATTATTTTCAAATTACGGATTATAAAAAAAGTGTGATATATGGTGACCATGCATGTTGTGCAAATTTACTTTCTTTGTGCAATAAGTTTTTCATCATTCTGGATGGGGTAGTCAGATCAAAACCATAGGCATGTATAATACACAGTATTAGACATGTTGCACTGATGCATTAGATGTAAAAGTTTGTTTCAGTCTTTTTTTCAACTTCAGTGTGTGTATTTTCTCCTATTTGGCTTTATTGTGAAGAATTTCTTAATTTCCTCAGCAACAGATTATCCTAAACAAGAATAAGCCTACACTTTAATAAGAATAAACAAAACATAAGAATAAACTAAATAATATAATAAAACTAATGAAATTAAGCTTTTTGTTAATAGGCATAGTTAAAATGATAATTGGTGACATCAGATTTGGACAGGTTTTGGTATCTGTTTGACCTATAGAAATATTGAGGGCATTGTATCAAAAAAACTTAATACAGAGAGTATCCATTTTAGATTATTTTAAATCAAACATTTAAAATTGTATTCCTTATATTTTTTGTGTTCAGTACATGGGTTTACATGTGATGTATTAATAAATTTTTATGCAGTATAACTCTAATCAATACTATCATTTTTTAATTAACCTTGCTTTATTACCTATACAATAGCCTGTTACACTAAAATGTTACATATACTACATTGTGCTACTGTGCATAATACTATAGACAGTACTCTATTTTGTTCCTTTTTGACAAGACTGCCTCTTGAGATGACTAGTTTTTTCAATTTTGGAGATATTGTCTTAGAGATTTTACAGTTAGTAAACATTGTTTCAACAAGAATTTTAATTGACTTATCATTCATCATTTTGTATTGCATTAATTTTGCATAAGCTCTACAAGTATTTAGGCTTATATACAATATGATGATGATTTAATTTTATATACAGTATATAATATAGTAACTTGAATAAGAGTTTTGATTTAAAAAATTTTTTAATTTCTAACACAAATTCCAAATAAGTACTTCCAGTACTTGCTTTGAGCCATCTGCATTAGAAATGTAGGTAGAGAAAATGTTACTAAAAACAAAGTTTACTCCATTTTTATAGTGACTTTTAAATTTTTTGTTTACTTGAAAATTCATATGAAAACATAATATGAAATCTATTTTTAGACAGTCACTTGGTAAAAAAGTTAATTTTTATTACTAGTTATTACTTTATATAGCATTATTCACAGTCACTTTTAAAAAACTTTAGTCCTGAAATTTTTGAACACCAACAATATACTTAGATGAAATTAAAATGCAGCTGCATTTTTAAGGTTTTTAATGAAAAAGAAAAGAAAACTAAAAATAGTTACAAATCTTTCGGTTGTATTCAATGGTGTTCTGGAAATAGAAAAACAATTAGTTCAAAGAAAGAAATATAACTAACAATCATGAAAAACTAATAAAATAGCCAGAGCAATGACCAAGAAAATGTATAACTTTGGAATAAGTGTGTCATTTCTGTAAAGTGTGATATTGAGAAAAAATAAAATTTAACAATGATAATTTCGTGTTTAAGCTTATATTTTTTGCTAACATTTAATTGTTCAATTTGCAATTGAATCTTAAAGAAGAAATATAGTATCATTTGTTTTTATCATTACTATAGAATTAAATGCTCTTTTATATCTAAAATACTGTTTTGGTTTTCTGATTATAGTTTATCATCAAAATATAAATTCAGATTAATTTTTAAAATATATTGAATTTCAGCATATATATGTTGTATAAAGATACTGATGGAACCTTTTTAAGTTAAAAGTATTCACTTCATGACTACATTGTTAAATAATTGCCTGTATTGCTAGTTTTGGAATATTTTTATTAATTAATGTAAGATGTGAAAAATTAATTTAAATGATACAAATATAATAATTTTTTTAATTTGATATAAATGTGGTACTCTTCTTTAAATGTTGTTTTAAAATAATCAATAATTAAAAGGTTTAATAAGAAGAGTTTTTAAATTATTGATGTGTTATTTCTAAGATAGCTAGATATTTATAAAGCTATCCGTGAAGTGTTTTGGATGAATGCATAAATTTCATCTTTAAAATATGCTTTTGAAAATATCTTGTCAAGAAGATATTTTTGGTATATTTATTCTTCATGGCTTTGTTCATTTAAGATTGATTGATTGTTTTTTTTTAGAAAAAAACTATGCATATCAGAGAGAGAATTTTATAAATTTTTAATGTAAAAAATTTTAACATAAAGATATTTTTGGTATATTTATTCTTCATGGCTTTGTTCATTTAAGATTGATTAATTGTTTTTTTTTAGAAAAAAGAAATAAAAGTATTGCATTATTGCACTTGATAACATTGAATGAAACTGTTTTCTAAATCTAATGCGATCAATCTATCAAAAGGAGATTTTAAGGCTTCATAAAAATATCTCACTTGGCATTTGTTCATCCTTTTTATTAATTTTCCTTTGTATTCAACTCATCAATCACCTTATCCACCATCTCGATAATATATTAATGTAGTTTCTCTTTAATTCGATTACTCATAAATCTCAGCATTAGTCAAATTTTTATTTATTAATATTTTAAAGCTGTATTTAAATCATTTATAATGGTTAATTTAATTTTATTTTTTTGTGTGTAAATACACAAAAATAGTAAAAAATTATAGTTATTTTTATTATAAATCNTTATTAATTTACTATCAAACTCATTACAGATTATAATTACAGTATTGAGTTGACTAATTCTGTATATCTGGTATATAGTAATATGAAAGATGTAATTGAATAGATGCTATCAAAATGTGAAAATTCTTCTGAAATAATAATATCAAATTTATTTGTAACTAATGAAGAATTTTTGTTCATTATTTTATTATCTACATTTCTTTTGTTTTTCATGCATTTGCAAAATGAAGAAAATGTGTTACGAAGCAAGATGTAATTATGAAATCCTGAAAATGCAGTTTGATGTAGTAGTACTAGTTTGATTAGTACTAGTTATATTAGTTAATTTAAAAATTAATTTTTTGATATTTTAAATATTTATTTAAAATGTTTAAGTATATAAATGTATTTATATATATATTTATATAAAAATATATATCTTTTATTTACATGTACACATGTGTGTGTTTGTGCATGTGTGTGCATGTATTTATTTACATTTGTTTAATATTGAGTGAGTATTTAAATTAGTTGATGTTATTGGGATATGTTAAAAATTGACTGAACAGAATGTTTCCTTTTTTATTGAATTTACTAAAAAGTTATTTGAAACTTGAGAAATAGATGTTTAGAGTAGGGATAGAAGGTCAGACAATCACTAAGGACAATTTATGGTAAGTAGGGGGGGTGGCAACACACAAGATAGGAACATCAACTCACTCTCTCCCAGTCTTGTTACAGAAAAAAAAAGCTCCATGTCTGGGGCAAAGTACTTAACATATATCACAAATATTCTCTATTCCACTACTACCAGACCAATGTGTACGCCTCTGCACAGAGAAGAAAAATGCGCCCTTTTGAAGGTTTCAAGCGCAAAGCTGTTGTCATTGTACCAACAGATGAGGAGTTCAAACGGAGATGTGAAAAACAAGAAAAGGACGAAGGCAAAGATGTGCCTGACCATGCGGTTATGGAGATGAAAGGTAGGCTTTTTCCGCCGGAGGTGCTGTGCTGCACTACCAATGTTTTGTTTCATATTGGCACTCAGTAGGGTTTTGTCAATATTACACATTGTTTAAATTAGCAAAAGCTACGTCATTATTATGGCAAGCTTTTGTCATTCTCCAGTTTTTGGGACCTTGTGAACTAAAAATTAATTATAAATATATATGTACATTAAACAGCATTAAAGAATTAATTCTAAATTAGTGTCCCAGAAACAGAGATTAATTTGATGTATTTACAGTTGTCTAAACTTTAGTTTTATATTTTTTCAAACAGCAAACTTCACTCTTCCACAACCAGAAACTGTGTTTGATGAAATAATATATGCTGAGTTACCTGCTGAGGAAGCTGAACCTTTAATTCGAAAATATAACGAGGAAGGACGCAAGGCAGCACCACCTCATAAACGCTTCCGTCCGAATGATAGATCTCGAGGCCCTCCACCTCGTGGCCCTCCAGGTAAATTGTAATTTGTTTACTTTTGCACTGACTAATAACTAGATTTGTTTTTCTTAGAATCTGGTCGCAAACAGTGCTAAATTATTTGTCATAATCCAAACATTTAGTTTCTAAAAGACTTTTTGATTCTTTGTTATGACATACATTAGTTTAATTGATACTTTTTAATATTAAACTACAGCAATTCAAGTCAATATACTATAGTGAAATTTTGCATTGCTTTGACTTTTTAAAAATTAAACCATTTTAAAAGTTATTAAAAGATCACAATATCCTAATTTAGAAAATTAATAGCTGTATATGTATATACACACACACATGGTGTTCAGAAAATAATGCCCAACAAGCACAATAATAGCAGATATACATCTGAGCGGTATGGTTGGTTCAACATGTTTTACTAAGAGCTCCAAATAATTTTGGGAGTTAAGGATGCTGCCAATAAAAAATGACCCAGGGACTCATTGGTCAAGTAATCCAGCACAAATGCTAACTCTCTCCTTTTTAGCATATGTTATGTGTAAGTCATGCGGATTTTCTTGTGCACATTAGTGGTTATCTTGCAGCAAAGAAAAAAAAGGACACCTCATTTGTGAAGCAAATTTGCCTGGGAATGATAGGTTTGTGTTTCCAAGATTCATAAACATCTCTGTAAAATTTATCCTTGTAGTGTATTCTTCAGGAATCTGTTGATGACATTGGTACTTATACAGATGATAACCTCTTGAGAATCATAAAGTTCTGTTAGGTTCTAGAGACAGGAATTGGATCAATCTTTGGACTCAGTTCCTGTCTCTAGAGCCACACAGTGAAATGAAAGTAGTTGAATTTACTGTGAGTGTGATTATAATGTCTTAGATGTGTCATCCATTATACCACTCCTGGTCTTTCAGGTGTTGACACGTCATCTAAATCATCCACGCATCGATATTTAGCTACCATTCTTAATTAAGCCCATGTGATAGCCCCACAAAAAGAAATCTTAAAGACAGAATATATCACAATGCTGCTACAACTATTGAAGTGTTGATAGATACAATTAAAAAAAGGAGTAATTGTGATTCCAAGAAAGTCTTTTATTATGTTATTGAATGTTTCAAAAATTGATTAAAAACTATTATTGTGAGCAAAATTAGTCAATTGAAAACTTAATTCATTAAATAGCAATAAATTATGTATAGTATGCTTTTTGAATGTTCTTTCTATCTTGTATAGTTGTAAAGTTAATAAAGTTTTACATGAATTAAAATCATTCTCTATAAACCACAAAGTTTTAACTCAAAAAAGAAGTAAAACTCACTGTTTTAATGATAAATAATTTACTTTTAATAACTTTTAATACTTTGATACTTTTGATAATGATACTTTTAATAACTTAAATGGGTTCAATTTTTCAAAAATGTTTGAAGTGTTAAAAATGTATTTAATTAATTAATTTAATACCAAAAACTGAATTTTTTTTTGTTGAATTAAATTACTTTTTACAAGAAATTTTTGTTAATTCAAACTCGAGTAGTTTGTAACTTTACTATTTGTCCCAGTCAGATATAAAGGTTTTTATGTTAAGGAATTTGCTTAGTTTGAAATACAGCTACTTTGAAATTTGAAGTGAAAATTCTGCCCAAACTGATATGCATATAATTAGCTCATACATTTTGAAGTTTACATGCTTCCATACTATAAGACAGAGATGGCCAACACGTAGACCACGGTCGACCGCAAAGGTTTTGAAAGTAGCCCTCGAAGCTAAAGTTGAACAATTTGCTTTCACTTAAATTAATGTTTAAAAATCTTAATTGGGTAATTTATTCTTACAATAATAGACTGTCTGTGCAACGTACCCATACTGTTTGTATTTATCCTGATGAACAATGCAAATGAATGTTAACGCATGCACATATAAAAATCCTAAAATTGTTTGACCATATTCATAGTCACCCGCAGACTACATTTTACCAAAAAAGTAGCCCCTGAGGGATAAAAGTTTGGCCACACCTGCTATAAGAGAATGATTAATTACCAACAACTCTAATCTGGTCAACATGGTGTCATTTTTCACAATAACACTTTTTAGTTTACCTTACCCATTGATTATCCTTCTCACCTAAAATTCAGCTTGAATTCAGCTACAAGTAGCAGGTTAAGATATTTGTAGGACTCTACACTACTGGATTTGGGTAACTTATTACTTTTTTGGATACTTTAAAAAAATTGTGCTACATTTTGAGAATTCTGCTTTTTATAAAGCCTGTCTGACGACCTGTGAGGTTGTCACTGGTCATGTGTTGTTTACTTGTAGTTTATTTGTATTATTAATAATTATTAGTGAAATTAACATTTTGTATATGTAGCTGTATTCCATTTGCTTAATAAATTACATCAGTTACATGTCACTTTGCACATTATACAGAAATATATATATATCTCAGGTAATTAAAAGTTGCAATTACAGTAGAGTGTAGTTTATCCGAATCAATTGGGGATGGTTCAGATAACTTATTTTTCGGATAACGAATCATGTACGAAAAAATATATTAATTTATCCCATGTTGAAATTTCTCTCTGTTGGGTGTCGCTTCGCGTTGAATTTTCGTCGATGTTAAGCCTAACGAAGACTATTGTATCATTAAAAATTATTTTTTTATTTTGTACAAACAAAATAAATTTATTGAAAAATATAAAAACAATAAAAAATTATACTTCAGATGTTAATTTAGTATCAAAAATGTAAAATATTTGAGTAGCCCGAGAAATATCTGAAGATTGCAGCACCACAGCACTAGCAAAAATTTAAATTTGCCGACTGGAATGCTTTCGGATAACGGACGTTTCGGATAACCAGCTTTCGGATAAACAACGCTCTACTGTAATTTCTTTCTTGAATTTCAAACTAATGAGGATTTCCTGTGGTCACTTGCCATGTTAAACAAAAAAATTCTTAAGAACACAAAGGCACAAAGCAAATCAGTTAGGATTCTTCATTTAACAGCTTAAACTATAAGGAAGGAAGAATCTTCAATAGAATACAGCTTTAATTTCAACTTTTAAATTCGCTTCATGGTTACAAAGCATTTGATGCAGAAAACTATTAAGTAAGAAAGTTAAATGTTACAGGTTATTGTTGACATAAACAATCCCATAATCATCAAAAATTGCATATTATGGGTGCAACAAATAGCATATGGATTTTCTGTGTGTAGGTTCATTATAAGTTGTAATCATGTAATTGCCTAGACAATTACATGATTACAATTACTATTGACTAAACTCAACATAACCTGATAAGTGACTAAATTTTTTTTCTCAGCAGTTATTATATACAAGCTTATTACAAGTAATAGTTCAGTCAATTCTGTTGGTCAAATGTTTGAAATTTTTGCAGAACATGCATATTTCAAGGGCCTGCACAAGTATGACAAACTTATTCATCGTGTAGTAACAGTTATATTTTAAAGCGTCACTGACAAAATAAAAATTAAAATCTTCTTTTCAGATGTAAGCCATAACTTATTTTAATGCTCATAAGCAAGCAGTTAAATTGAAATTAAGAATAGGTTGATTAATAGTGGGTGAATTATGAATATTGACAGTTTTATAAAAAAAACTGTCAAGATTCAACAACTGTTATACAAAAAGTTTTTAACCTATTCAATGTTGAAATTTTTATTTGTTGCCTGTGACGCCATGTTGAATTTTCATCGATGTTAAGTCTAAATTGTTTTTTAAAATAATAATCGTGTTTACTGTATTATAAAAAATTATTTTTTTAAGTTTCACAAACAAAATAAATATATTGAATAATATAGAAACGAAAAAAAAATTATATTTTAAAAGTTTGTTTTAATATAAAAATTATGACGCATAGCGACATCTAGTATGAAAAATGTTCCGATGTAAATACGAAAATATTCGGAATCGCCCACGCAGATCAATGAGGTCAACACGAATATTTTCGGGAGCAACGTAGGACAGGTTAAAGGATTATATTTTGCCTAAAATCTGTATATAATGGGAATTTTATAGTATTATAAAATCTTTTGAAGTATGATTTTAAGATGCATAGCAAATTGGGAATATGGGAGGAAAGAACTTAAGTTCGAAGTAATTTATCAAAAGTACATGGAATGCTAGTAACAAATATTATTAGATTTAATGTTATTTTAAATTTTAGAATTATGCTAAATTAGTATTATAAATTTATTATTTTTTTAATAGGTCGTCGTGGAGGTTATGGTGGTGGCAATCCTGGATGGGGTTCTAGACCCTCTGGTTCTGGAGGCTATAGGGGACCACCACCTGGTGGTCGGGGTTAGTATTTTATAATAAAAAAGATCTATATGTTGCCTTATTTTGACATACAAAAATATTTACACAATCTATGATTTAAATGGCATTTGAAATATCTGAATTCAGTCTAATATAGTCAGAAATGCAACAGAATTTAATTTTTACATGATACTTTCAGTTTAATGTGGTGTTTAAAATATTCTGCAATATTTAGAACTGCATTATTATGATATTGCAATTATGTTACTACCACTTTGAGCTTACACATTCAAAAAGGATGGGATTCTTCATTTTTCAACTGTATGTGATGCCACTTAGCTAATTTAAAGAAATTTATTAAAAAATTAAACATACAAGAAATTTTTGTAATGATTTTATTAAGACAAGATCATTACTGTCATCAGTTTAAAAAAAAGCTGTGATTGAAGAGTTAGTGGTGGAAGTAGCATATTTTCAAATAAAAAAAAAATGTTTCTGTATAGACAGTAAAGAAAATACAGAATGAAGTTTTATTATTGTTTATTTTGTAATGTTTAATAAAAAATGGAACTTTGAACCTATTCTTTTATTTCTCTTATAAATATTAGTCTTAATTTACACAATTTTGATTTTGTGCAGAATTAATTTATTATGAAAATCAAGAATTGTGTTATTTTAAATGATACCTGTATCACCTGAAATACTGATATTTAAATCTATGGCATAAAAAGTAATAAAAATACTTCTTGTTTGTGTAACAATGCTTGTAATGTTATTATCATTGTCTTCATATGGAATATTTATATACAGGTGAAACAAATTATTCTTTTTTGGAAAGTATTTATTTAATTTATATTTTAATTCTTATAAGATTAAATATTATATTCAATGAGCAATTAAAATTAATTAATTAAACAAATAGAAATGATACTCTTTGAATCAACCAAACATTAAAGTACTGTGGTCTAAAATATACTTTCTACTTCTCAAGATTTCGCTTATCATTCTAATAAAACATAGATATGGTACCAGACTAAATATCTGGCTTGTAGAAAACCTGGCTAGTGTTGAATTTGGAAGGCTGTAGTTTTGCTTTGCAGCCACTTTATCTTGGTTTCTGTGATATATCATATGTTCATTCCAGTGTAACTGCTATTGTGTTCAGTTATTTATCACAGTTAATAAAATTGTTTCTGCTTTCTTTCATTTAATTATCATCATAAATATTACTCTGATGGTTCTAATAGGATTAATAATGATAAAAAAAAACTGCTTTAGAAGTGTATTAATTTGTATCTGTTAAGTACAGTTTCATTCTTTCAATTAAAAGTGTTTTACAAATCTTAAATTTTTGTTGCTGTAAATATATATACAGTTTAATACTATGATAAAAGTGAAGTGTCAATAATTTTTTATGCAGCAGCAGCAAAAAATATGTGCTGCTATCAATTTCTGTATGTAAGCCTTCCTATGGCATGTGAAATGCCATTTATTATTTTACTGCAGATAATCAGTGATGGTCATGACTGTGCCAGAACACTTTTCTTATGAAGTTCTTTAATGTTGCAAAAGTTAAATAACTTAAGAAATTATACCAAGATTTTTGCTGCTTGCAGTGCTACAAGTTCTGTAGTGGTGTGTTTCAAAAGTAAATTTTCCTAAGGAAATCCTTTCTGCACATCTGTAAAATGTTAACATACAAAAATTAGTTCAGTTTGGGCTGCTACATTTCCCTCCAGACAGTGTTGAATAGTGATGCTTAAATTAAGATTACGTGGTATATAAAAACTATTCTAATAAAGCTATAAACTTTATATATATTTATTATACAGGATAGCACAAAGAACAGCTCTTGTACAGTACATAACATAATGGAAACACAGGAGTCAACTGCTTGTTTCAATGACATAGATATTGAAAGTGATCATCTGTCATACTGATACACAACTGCACACATCAAATCATGTTTAGGAACACATGACAGAACATAGTGATATTGACGGTGGCAAATGCATGGCTGATGCTGTGTATTTGGCACCGTCATAATGCTGTATTGTGTGTAAGATTTACACAGTATGGGACACCAATGTTCATTAAACACAATGTTACACTCAATGCAGCTGACTCAATTCGTGTCATACACTAGTACCATACACTCAAACAAGACTTTTTCATGCACTACCTTGTATAACCTACACACACACACACACACACACACACATTTTATCTTACTTATTGAATTTTGTATTTAATACATTTTGCTTAGATTGATTTATATATATTTTTACAGGTGGAGCAATTCCATTAAGAGTGAGTGAAAACAGAAGTAGTAGAAATAAAAAAGGTATAAACTATATTAATTTAAAAAATTTTTAATGTTTAGTATGATTGTAGCCTTATTACTACTAAATATGCTAGTTATAGCTTTCACTTCTACTTTCCCGACTGTTATGTATACATAACAAGGGAAAGTAATGGAATCATGTCAAATTTGACTTTCCAAATTTTTTTGCAAATTATGTTTTGAGATCCCCTGAACCAAAAAAGTTCCAAAAAAAAAAAAAGGTAAAAAAATTCCGCTTGTGTTTTGCGTGTTTGCATTTGCTTTGTTACTTTGCTTAACCTATCCAATGTTGAAATTTTTCTCCATTGCGTGTGGCCGCCATGTTGAATTTGTTTATGTTAAGCCTAACAAAAAATTTTTTTTAAAAATAATAATTGTGGCTACTACTGTGTCATTAAAAATTATTTTTTTATTTTTCACAAACAAAATATTAAAAAATATATTAAAAAATATAATAACAAAAAAATTATATTTCAAAAGTTTGTTTTAATATGAAAATTATGACACACAGTGATGTCTAGTATCAAAAACGTTCCAATGCAGAAATCAGTATATTCGGGGTTAATGGGTCAGGTCAAATGAGGTCAACATGAAAATACTCTATCTCAAGGACCTGGTGAAGATAAAGAAATGAAATTTGGCACAGTAGCTTGTATGTAAGGGCTATTGATGTTATTAAATTTTGGTTTTGAAAGGTCAAGAGAATGGAAATGGAGAATGGTCACATGTCATATCTCACAAGGGGTCAGACTTAATGAAGATTTTACTTGTTAGCATTTACAATGTTTTATAAAACTAATCTTTACCTTCAAAATTAAGTATTTTGTTGTTTTATTATAATTAGAAATTATAAAGTTTTTATAATAAAATTTCATAACAGATGGTGCTACATACAATTTTAGTTATTGTCTTCATATGGAATATTTATATACAGGTGAAACAAATTATTCTTTTTTGGAAAGTATTTATTTAATTTATATTTTAATTCTTATAAGATTAAATATTATATTCAATGAGCAATTAAAATTAATTAATTAAACAAATAGAAATGATACTCTTTGAATCAACCAAACATTAAAGTACTGTGGTCTAAAATATACTTTCTACTTCTCAAGATTTCGCTTATCATTCTAATAAAACATAGATATGGTACCAGACTAAATATCTGGCTTGTAGAAAACCTGGCTAGNTTTTGCAGGTTCACAAAACATTTTTTATATTATTATTTTAAAGCTATTGGCAAAAGTATGAATTTTTTAAAATTAACTTTTTAGAAGGCTATATATTATTAAATGTATTATATTTGTTCAAAGCCAAACATTCACTGTAATTAATATGCTAGAATTAATAATTAGAATCAATACTTCGGTCTCCAGGAAGTTGATATATTTATATTTGTTCAGTTTTAGTATTTCACAAAAATATTTTAACAGGTATGTATGGTGGCCCTAGACCTCGTGGCCCTCCTGGTGGACATAGAGGTCATCCCCGGGGTCCTCCTGGTGGTGGCAGTGGCAACAGACAAAGACGTGGTGGCTCGGTAATTATTATTTTTTATTTATCATTTTACTAAAATTATAGTATTTGAAGTTATACTATTAATCTTTAATATATATGCATATAGTCGATTCCGCTTAATTGGGACACATTGGAACTAACCTGTTTTGGCCCAATTAAGCAGCTGCCCCAATTATACAAATTAATAACAACTTCTAAAATAAAATATATAATAAGTAGGTAAAAAGTAATAATTAGGTACCTATTTTAAAGCTTTATTAAAACAAAATACAGAAAATATTTGTACTATAAATTTGCTAGACTCACAACAATAGATAACTGATTCACATCATGCTATACAGTATAGTAGTGATGTACACAAGGATTGACCATTCGATTCATTCCTGATTGGACAATTTTTTGTTTTTAGTTATAACTAAAAAGGGAGAAAGAAAAGGGTTTGTCCAAAAATCACTTTACAGTCTTTCTTTGAGCATAGTTTCCTTTACTTGGAGATGGGCCACTTTGGCGGGAGCATCCATAGCATCCGCCAGCTCCAGATGCTGGTCTCAATTATTGGATGGCTGCTATCTATATAGATATAATCATGCACACAATAGAGAGGTTGCAGCTGAAGTTTTCATCTCCAATCATGAACGTCGAATGTTGAGTGCTCCTATCCTGTAAGCCTAGAAGTGTGAAAATGGCATTTGGAACATAATTGGAATCATGCTCAACATTCCAAATGCCATTGTCAAACTTCTAGGCTTACAGGATAGCAGCACTCAACATTCGACGTTCATGTTTGGAGATGAAAACTTTGACTGCAACCTTGCTAATATGTCCCAAGGGAACTCTAGCTGTCTTTTAACTCAGTCAACAGACCTTGAAAAATTGTCCAGGGATTATCCCTTTGCTTTTAATATCCCGTTTGCACACAATCCACAACTCACTTCGATGTCAATTTACCTACAATCTTGATTGTGACTGTCGCCAGTCAAATGTCGTGCTGTTCGCATAGGCAGTCTGCTTGAGAAGAACCTGGCTGTTACACATGATGATAAAATTGACTTAACTATGCGGTTAGTCACAAACACCAACAAACAAAATGGAAGTTTTGGTTAGAAGTAAATACTTTTTCTTGCCATATATCTAATAATAGACAGATATCATCATCTCTCCAGTTAATCTTTTTTATTTCTCTGTTGATAGCCCAACATGTGTTTTGCAGCCATCTTGTATTTTCTCATGCCCGTGGGATGTGTGATCTTTCTTATGACTGGATCTAGTTTCAAGAACTCTCTTGAGTCAATTGCAATTGAACCTTGTTTCAGTCGAGAGGTTTCACCACAGCATAGTCGCCGACCTTGGTCACAATCTAGATTGAAATGCTTGGTGCGAACGGTGTATAAGGGTATTGTCCAGTCCAATCCAGAGCAGGGTCAGTAGCTCACATTTAAGTTTGCCTCAGACAGGATCCCTGTGTGATAATCCCACTATGCTGACCTTCTCCGGAAAAACCAAACTTCTTGGGTGAAAGACAAAATCACTTTGTATCTGCTAGCCATTAGGCCTACATCACATTAGTGTATGTAGTGTCTACATATTTTCAGAAGATCCCTAAAATGTATAAAAAATTGCTAAATTCCTCTTCTGCTACTGTCCCAATTAAGCAATTAAATTATGAATTAATTTATTAGTTTGGTTTCTGTTTGTTGAGATTTAGCCCAATTAAATGGAATCAAGTGTAATATATATATATATATATATATATAATTATATTTTAGTTTGAAGTTCTGAATATTTGATTGTTAATTTGTTTTCTTATGTAATAGAGAATTTCATAGAGAATTATATAATATAGAGATTCACACACAAACATACACAGGTGTCTATGTGGTGAATTTCTATATTATATAAATCATATATCAGGTGGTAATAAAATAAGTATAGTAAAAACTGCTTAGGCGACCACCTGCATTCGATGAGCACCTGTCAAAACGGGCGAAAATTTCTGGCACCGAATAGTTTATCCATAGAGTCTTCGTATAAGTTACCTGTATTAAAAGACCACCTGTGTAATGCAACCACGGGCATCGATTTTTTATCTGAAACAACATACAACACCTGTAATAAGCGACCACTTTCACGAATGTATCTGGTCTAAACTATTGTAAGAACCCATCTCAACAACGTTTCCACCTCCTAATATAATGAATTAGTCTAAACTCTCGTTCGAACCCATCCCGGGCACTTCTCCCACCCTCAAAATTAGGTGCAGGTGTTAATAAATTAGTCTAGCAACAAAATAAAATTCATTTCAGTTTGTTGGAAAATGTCCGAAAAACAAAAGAAGTGCAAAGTGCTGTTGTTAGAAGATCGTATTAAAGTTATCACAACAGCAATTAGGGGTGAAGTTTAACTGTGGGAAAACGAAATTGATTTTACCGTAGACCTACAGTATTTTCCTTGGGGTTATAAAATATTGTACACGATACAATTAATCGGCAGATCTCATCGTTTGATAAAGTTTATTTTTATTTATATAGCTATTTATTTATTTTGAAGATCATGTACAGTACATGTGCGATAAATAGTTTCTGTATCAACCTACCTTATTTCCCCGATATTCTAAGGAAAATAATATCCAAGTCATTTTTGCGCGCAAAATATTCAAAAAACAATAAACACATTAATGCAAAAAATTAGTTTTACAGACACCCTTACTTTTTTGATTCTGCAATGACAATCGCGGAATGTAATGAAATTGTACAATGAGAAAAAATAATAAAATAGTTTTATTATTATTATTTAATAATTTTTCTTATTGTACTTAAGAAAATATTAAATAGTAAAAAAAAATACAGTACAGTGGTAGCTTGGTATATGTCTGCTTTAGAATACATCCTGTTTGGACGAAACAAATTTTGCTCGGTATACGACTTAATTCAATTATACGCGCTATCTATGAACAAGTAGCACTATCGGTATACTAGACCAGGCTAGACATTTGCGGTGCCACAGTTTATAACTTTGTTAAATTTCTTCTGATTTTAATTTGTAAGTAAAATTTTATTATTTTTATTAATCATGAATTGCAAAAAGGCAAATGAAAAGCAACAGAAAACTAAAAAAAAATGACTAGAATCACAATGGAACTGAAAAAAGAGATTGTTGAGGAATATGAAGGTGGTATTCGTGGTCGAGATTTAACTGTTGCATACTGTATTCTGAGAACGACGATATCGACAATCACGAAAAATAAAGACATTATTAAATCTGCTAACGTTGCGAAAGGAGTTAAATCAATTTCTAAACAGAGATCAAAGACATTAGATCGTGTTGAGAAATTGCTTTTGCTTTGGATTACTGAAAAACAGTGTGCTGGCGACATCATATCGGAAGCAGTTATTTGCGAGAAAGCTAAAAAGATACATGCTGATCTCATGAAAAATCAAGCATGAACTAGCCAAGAAAGCGAGGTGTTTAAAGCCAGCCATTTTTTTACATGAGAACGGATTAATCATTTTTACATTACTTCTTATGGGAAAGGTTGGTTTGGTATATGTCCTATTTGGTATAAGTCCAAACATTAGGAACGGATTAAGGTCGTATACTGAGGTTCCACTGTATTTTTAAACTTAAAATAAGATTAAACTAGCGAATACCAAAACCAAAGTGACGTAGAAATACGACGCGCTTCTATATCGATGACATAATACACGTAACTGAGAAGCGAACGAAAACAACCGAGTCAAATTAATTAAAGCCAGAAAAAAGAAAGTGTGCATTATAATCGAGAAAATGCAACTATTATTTTAATCTTTAAAATATTGGTATTAAATCTGTCTTATAAAATCACGACGACTCTTGTAAATTGAGTTATCCGATAAGAATAAAATACAATACCAATATAGCACTATCGTTGAAAAAATTCACTTATATTTGCTCACTATCAGAAGAAATTTAACTTTGTTAAATTTCTTCTGATTTTAATTTGTAAGTAAAATTTTATTATTTTTATTAATCATGAATTGCAAAAAGGCAAATGAAAAGCAACAGAAAACTAATTACAGCACCACCTGTATTGGACGAACACCTGTCTAAAAGACCACTTTTTGAAGGAATTGTAGGTGGTCGTCGTAGACAGGTTTTACTGTATTTCTATTTGAAGCTGTTGGTAGCTTGAATGATTAACTGAAATAAAATCAAAATTGGTACATTTACTATTTAAGAAGAGGAAAAAAGAAAAAAAAGTTAAATTGGAACAAGAAAAAAAAGTTAAATTGTCAATAGAGGGTGCTGTAAAGTTTGAAATGTGATGTGTAATACAAGAAGTAAGAATTAAAGAGCAAAAACTGATGGCATATTTATTGGAAATTCCACATTTAATGTGGTTATGCTGTTGCATGATTACCTTAATTCATTCATCTTGTATTACACACTACATTTCAAAGTTTACAGCACCCTCTATTGGCAATTTAACTATTTTTCCCTCCTTGTTCCATTCTTCCCACTTCTTAAAAAGTAAGTGTAGCAATTTTGATTTTATTTGGGTTATTCTTTCAAGCTACCAACAGTTTCAAATAGAGATACTTATTTTATAACCATCTGGTGTATATATATATAGTATGTATATACATACACATATGTGATTAATCATTATTATTTAATACAGTCGACCCCCCTATAACACGGTAGATACGTTCTGTTCTTTATGAATCCATTTTGTATGAGTCCTTGCCAATTACAGCCTGGCACGTATGCACTTTGTGGACTACAGCTGTTTGAAAGGTTTTCTTCCATAAAATTAATTGATTCCTAGACTAATTTGACTCAACATTTCCAAAACACGTTTATACGGATTATTCCCATTTTTTTGGGAATAATCCATATAAACTATGCTATAAACAAAAAATTGTAGGATTACTTACCGAGTGTGCACCGTTCGACGTCACCCTTGCTTAAGCTTGTTTTCGTTGCGGAGCAGTGCACCAAATGGCAGCCACGATTTCTGATAAGTTATTTTTCTGTGAAAATTTTGTTGAACTTTGGAGACATCATTAATATAAATTTTTATGGCCGTTGAATAAGAAATGTTTCTTTCACAAGAAATGTATAAAATTAGTGCTGTATTAGACTTACGGTACCTAATTTACATATTGTACAGACGATAGTAAACTCAACTTACTTGCCTAAACTCTCCGTAGCATGGTGCTGGACGGCGAAAAGTATATATATAATTATAATAAAGTTACAATAAATTAAGTTAATATATAATATATAGTAGATCCCCCTATAAAACCGTTTCCTATAGTTATGATTCCTATAAAAATTGTGGCAGTATCCGTAAACAACGGTAAAAATAACTCCTATAATACGTAAAACGTCATCGGGCAGCCGAACTACTTTCCCNTAGGTACTGTATATATAAATTAATATATAATTATGTGTACAGTACCTAATTTATATATAATACTGTACAGGCGATAGTAAACTCAATTTACCTGCCTAAACTCTCCGCAGCATCGCACTGGACAGCGGAAAGTACAGTAGAGCTTCGATTATCCGACTCAGTTGGGGACTGGGGTTGGTTGGATAATTGAAAAGTCGGATAACCGAAAAGTATGAAAAAATCCATTATTAGTGTAGTATATTATTATATCCCATGTAATTAGTATATTGCTATTAACCTACTTTGCGTTGAATTTTCGTCAATGTTAAGCCAAACAAACATTTTTTAAAATAATAATCGTCGCTATTGTATCGTTAAAAATTAGAAAATTAAGCCTCGTTTAAATACTGGCTCCCTTTCATGGTCGAATGAGTGTTGCCAGCTAAAACATGTAAAAATAATATTAAAGCAGCCAAGACATAGCCAAATATTGTAGCGCCACATCACTAGCGGACATTTGAAATTTGCCGACTAGGACGGTCGGATAATCGAGGCTCTACTGTAGTTCGGCTGCTCAATGACGTTTTACCGAATTATAGGAGTTTTTTTACCATGTTTGTACAGATACTGTTGCAATTTTTTCACCATCATATAGGAATCCGAACTATAGGAACCCGTGTTATAGGGGGGTCGACTACTGTTAACTGCAACTTCCAATTAGTGATCTATCCACAAGTTGGCAAAAATTGTAGTTAAAAAATTTTCAACTTTTAAAGTTAGCACAAAGAAATCTAGGTCAGTCTTGAACTAGCTACATAATTATTATCGAAATTGTTGAATTTTTTCTTGGTAATAGTCTAGTTGTGATTTATTCATAACTAGACTATTATCAAATATAATTTAACAATTTGGAGTATTATGAATTTAATTGTTTAGCTATGATTAAATTCAGAAATAGTTGAATTTAAACATAGCTATTTGAAGTAAATGTTATTAATATAAGAATTATATTTGCAGTGCTAATGTTAAAAATATACTGTAAATGTTGCATTTAACCGTTAATTTTCAAAACATTAAAAATTTAAACTAAAAATATTCTTTTCATCAGGGTTATAATTATAATCAAGGACAGTGGAACCAAGGACAATGGAAATCTGGTGGCAGTGAGTATATTTTTAATAGTTAGACAAATTATTTATTTGAAAGATTAAATTAATGTTGTTTTCAGATTATTATAATCAACAAGGTTATGGCAGTTCATATCCTTATCATCAACAGTGGAGTCAACAACCGTATTATCAACAGAATCAAGGATATGGTCAAGGATATTATAATCAAGGATATTATCATCAGGGTTATGGTGGATATGGACAGAAATAAATTACATTTTTAATTGCTTATCATCTTTTCATTTTATCATTGACAACTGCCAAACAAAATTATTCCTGTCAAATAAAAATTATATTGACAGATTTGAAATTTGTTTGTAGTCATGTAAAATTGATATAAAATTAAATATAATATGCTTTTAGTATTAATAGTTAAATAATCATTTTTATGGTGCTGTCTCTTTTGTGGTGTCATACAGCCTCAATCTTTCTTAAAATTGTGCTTGAACAAATCAGTTTTGACAGTTTAACTATTAAATGTTTAAATAGTGTATTCTTATTTTGCAAATGCACACAGGCTGTTTTTTTTTTTTTAAATTTTATGAATGTCTATTCACCCATTGATTTATATACATCAATTTTGTTTGTATATATATTATATATATATAATTTTATATAGTAGGTCATGTTTTGCATCATAATGGCAGTGTGATAAAAAAAAAACTGAAAATAAAAAGCAGTCTTAACATGTATGTAAAACTATATTTCAATTTGAATTAGATTAAATAGTTAAAAAAAAGCCATCACATCTGTGTATTTTGCATCATTATGATATTCTAACCAAATCATTGAATAATTAGTATTAATAAATTCATAGACATTGTTTTATGGAATTTAGTTTTTTTATTATTCTTCCTGCCAACTGGCACCAAGAAAACAATTATAGTTTCTTTAATTATATACTTTGATATGATTAAATTTTAAAATCTCTATATTAAATGAATTTTTCAGATATTAATCATAAAACACCATTCTCTTTATTAATAAACTAAGTCAGTTTATTAATCCTAGAATAATTTAAAAAAAATTAACTTCTTCAAGATTGGAATAAAGTAAACTAAAATGTAAAATTTAAGCATTAAAATATTAACTGGTTATAAAACCAAAATTTTGTTTTTGTGATACATAGATATTCAGGAAATAATTTATAGTTTTGTGTTAATTTAATAATGCTAATTTTTAAATTTAAAGTAAACTGATAAAATACATTTTGAAGATAAATTTGTCATTATTTTCATTGGTAATATGGCATGGATTGTTAAAGAAGATAATTCAAACTGTTTAGCACAGTGGTTTCCAATTAGTTTTTCCTGCATACCACTTCAAGAAACAGCTCAAACTCGCGTACCCCTTATATTCATTCATTCATTAATTCATTTTTATTTACTATATACTGTCAAGTACATTCCTGGCCCCACATGGAGCATTACCAGGAGATAAACAACACAAATACGTTATAATATATATTCGTAGAGAAAATTAAATAACATTAAGTTGTAGTAATGGTAAATAAAAATAAATAAGATAAAATTGTTGAGGGACATTGATAGGACGATCACAATTTAACTACAGTAGAACCTCAAAAACTCGGCCTAATGTGGACTGAAGGGTGGCCGAGTTTGTGAAAATGCCGGGTTATCGGGAATGGGGTTAAAAAAAAATAAGTACGAGTGTTTCCTCAGAAAATACTGTACTGTACTTGTATGTATTGTTTACTTGAGAATATAACAGAGAATAAACTGCCCAAATACCCTTAAACAAAGGAAAAGTACGTCCTGTATGAAGGCATAGAGCCTTTACTACATGAAAATGAAAATTAATGAATACACTGTGTACAGTAATTTACCTGATAAGACAGACCCCAGAAAAATACTTTATGGGAGGTTTTATACTTTTATAAAGCTGTCTATAATGAAAATTAATTAACTAAGGATTTTTTTGCCCTGCCAGGGTGTGGCCGAGTTATCCGGAGTGCCGAGTTATCGAGAGCCGAGTTTTCGAGGTTCTACTGTATTAACATTTACATAGATATAGAGTTATTATAAATTTTCGTGATTAATATATATTTAATTAATAAATATTTTGGTGATTGAGTACTTATAGATTAAGAAGGTGAACAGAAATAACTGTTTCAGGTCTCAAGAACACAATTCTCAGCCTAAGTAGTTAGAACTTGGGTTGACATATGTTTTGCTGCTTCATGATGGAATGAAGTTGGGCAACAACACATTCCTTATGCAGGGTATCTTGAGCAGAGTATTATTAAAAAGCAAATTATAGGTAACACATCATCTCTCTAGCGCAGGACGATTCGCTTGCATGTCTGAGATATCACAAGATACCATTGGCACAGCACTTCCAGGCACTAAATACACAGATATGATAACAATCAACGTACAGGGTATGGCACGTGAAGAACATCATCCCATGTAGAGAAAATGTGTAGAAGTTTTCTTTTTACAAGCACTTCCATTAGAACATCATCATTGAAAGATGGTTCACACATAATCAGACAATGATGATCAGAACCCTTGTTGTATATCACATACAGTAGTATTGCTTTCAGGATGCAAACTATTGAGTAGTGCAAACTCTGTAGATATTATTCAATAAGGCACAATACTTACCTATAGCACGTAGCCTTATTCTTGAGTACAATTTCACGGTAGTTCCATTAGTACAGTACATCCAAGGCACTGCGATTAGGACAATGAACGCCAAGGATGATTGACGCATAGGAAAGCAGAGCACCTCCATCAGGATAACACTACCGAAAGATGGTTCACAGACACCAGTTAATAATGATCAAAACATAACTGGACGAAGATTGGCTCCCTGTGAGTTGGAAATGTTATTCTCTAAAGATATAAAGTATACAGTTGTCAAATGCACAAGGTGAATCAATTTGAAGAACACAAATTTTCACAGAAAATATGGAACATGTCCAGAAACACAATCATTCAATTGAAATATTATTGTTCAAACACATTGTAGACAAGTTGATGAGATTGTGCATGTATTTTAGTGTTATATTATTTGATGTGTTATTTTAGAGATACTTTTAGCAAGTCTGGTGAAGGCATTATAAACTTCAAGAGATGTCCATATGTCTGGTAATTGGCAGGTTCAGTTAATTCCTAGTTGATTTAGTAGTAATTTTAGTTCTAGTCATTCACGATCAAATAGTATGCAATCATAAAAATAATGTTTGGAACCATCTGTCACAAGACAAGTAGGGCATTGGTCAGAGTTTCTATCAGTGAACCTAACAAGATATGAAGTGTATTTGCCATGATTGGTGAACAGCTGCATGGTGTAGTAGGTGGGTGAATACCACTGTATCATGAAAAATTTACGGAGGTCAGGAATGTATTCATGAGTGATGTGATGATAATTGCAATCCCATTCAATTTGCCATAAATGAAGAGCATGTTCCCAAAGTATACGGCGCAAGGTACATATACCCCTTATAGCAGAAATTCATATTAATCCATAGTAGTATTATAAATTCAAAGGTAAGTCTGCTGTCTGTCTGTTACCTTTTCACACTAAACTGCTGAACAGGTTTTAATAAAATTTGGCACAGTGATAGCTTACATGTTGGAGATGGACATAGGCTACATTTTACTGCAAGAAAATATCTTACTCCCACGAGAAAATTTGATATAATGCGGGCGAAGCTGTGGGTAGACAGCTAATGATAAATAGAATACGTTTTTTTACATTTATTACCTTTAAAATACAATTCTAATAATAATAAAAATAACATAAGGTTATTTAATTTTAATGTGACAAATGTGCACGATTTTCTTTGCACAACTTTGTAAAATCTGGTGGCTTTTTGGTCAGCTTCAGTCTCAAGCCATCTTCGAGTTGAAGTCGGTGACGATGTTTAGTTTTCAAGTTTGTCATGGCCGAAAATCTGCTCTTGCAGAGGTATGTTGTGCAAAATGATAGTAAATATTTTATTGCTGCTTCATTGACATGATGATGATGATAATTGTACAATTAACACAAATTGTGTTAATTGTACAATTTTTGTTTCTTGCCTAAGAATTTTATTTAGGTATTGTTACAAATTCATTTCTTTGATGAAATTTCGAGAATATTTTTAGTTATAAATAAACAAATTTGTGCATTCAACATCATGTTGTAAATTGCTGAATTTTTGATGGTCCACCCATTATTTTTTGATTGCTTCATCTCGTGCATTTAAATTTTAAATCGATTGATTTTAGATTGCCGCATGTACCCCTTCATGCAATTTTGCATACCCCCAATTGGAAACCACGGGTTTAGAGAGGCTGTACAAAAAATTTCATCCACTGTAATTTAACATAATCAAAAACTATCAGTTGTCAATTTCTTCCAAACTTCAATATTTCTTTTAATACAACTACAAACATCAATTATGGGCAGGTTTTATTCCAAGCATTGGCTGGTTAGTTTTTTCACTTTTAGTAACACAATACTGGTTTCTTTTGTTTTGTTGTGAATGCTATGACATGTTTGATGAATATAGAATATTATTAGTTTTTGATAACTACAATATTGGAGAAATACTACATCATACTTTACAAGATGTTGGTGAATCCTGCCTCTGGGCTCATAGAAACTTTCAAACATTATTAATAAACTTTTTAAAAATTTATTTAGGCTACTTTCAGTTACAATTAAGGCTACTTTAATGTATCATTTTTGTAGTCATATAGTGATTTGCTTAAAATTAAAAATTTTAAGCAAATGACTATACATACTCTAACCATTTAATTAACATTGTTAATAGTACTTAGTTTTAAAAGATTACATGTTTTTTAAATACTTTGAAATAATTCACAAAAAATAAATATTTCTAAATGAAATAAGTAGAGTTTTTTTAATCAAATTAAAATGTCGCACAACTTAAAATTCAGTACTAAACGCAATACGCAACTCAGAGTGCCAACTGGCTAGCGTATGTCGGATGACCACTTTTCAACGTATTATCATCACTTTGCCCCACTACGTGATAGCAGTATTCATAATGACCGGTCAATTTGATAAATTAATGAATTGTGTACTGGCACAATGAAGTGACGTTTTTCTCAACACTGGGCTAGTTGAATCTTTTATTTAGTTAGAACGTTTTTCCCATACATCAACGTTTCGGGCATCAGCCCCTCTTCAGCTAACTAAATATATATAAAAATATTTAACAGGACACAAATAAAAACCAAAAAACTCACATAAATTCCTTTGTAAACCATACCTCACTTCAGCATGGACACTGCACACACAGTAGAAATCAGACTACACTTAGGTTTTTTACATTTCCACTATCGATTATTATCACAATTTTTACTTTACAGGTTAAAAACAAAACCTTTTTTACGTTTTATTACATAAACAAGATAAACTCTGTAGATTTTAAAAAAACTAAAACTTACAAATTTCAAAAGTACATTTTTGCCACCTCGTCGACTGATCCGACAATTTGCATATAGCACTATATGCCGTAAGTTGTACTAGTTAACAGATTAATCGACAAACATTTGAAAATCCTTGAGGAAATTACAAAAAAATTTTTTAATTTTTTTATACAGTAAATCATTATTTTCCTTTAAATTTTAATCTGCATATTTTCGTTTTATCTAATTTACATATGACGTTAATACAGAACATTGTTTCATTAAATAATTCGTTTTTACCATTCTATTATTCTAAATTACACAAATCTAGTACATTTTATTATAATATTTTTAACCAATTTTCATGAATTTTAACACTTAAGTTTTTATTTATACAGCCTTGATTTTTG